CTATAGACACCAATACACATCATCCACCGCCTCTATAGACACCAATACACATCATCCACCGCCTCTATAGACACCAATACACATCATCCACCGCCCCCCTATAGACACCAATACACATCATCCACCGCCTCTATAGACACCAATACACATCATCCACCCTCCCTATAGACACCAATACACATCATCCACCGCCCCATAGACACCAATACGCATCATCCACCGCCCCCCATAGACACCAATACACATCATCCACCGCCCCCATAGACGCAATACACATCATCCACCGCCCCCCATAGACACCAATACATCGTCCACCGCCCCCCATAGACGCAATACATCATCACCCCTCGCGAGACATAATGCATCATCACCCCTCTATGAACTTCAATACGTATCCACGCCTCTCTATAGACACCAATACACATCATCCACCGCCTCTATAGACATAATACACATCATCCACCCCCGCAGACGCAATACACATCATCCACCCCTCCTCTATAGACATAATACACATCAATCCACCCCTCCTCTGGGCCTGCCAATGCATCATCCACCCCACTATAGACACCAATACACATCATCCACCCCCTCTATAGACACCAATACACATCATCCACCGCCCCCCCATAGACACCAATACACATCATCCACCCCCTCTATAGACACCAATACACATCATCCACCCCCTCTATAGACACCAATACACATCATCCACCCCCTCTATAGACACCAATACACATTATCCATAGCCTCTATAGGCTATTGTTGCTGTAATCCCTGTCTTGTCAGAGAAAATGCAGTGTTTACATTATAGCCTAGGAATACCTCCAAGTGGCCACTCCTCACATGGCTGCTAGAGGTGCTTCCTGGGGCAGTGCTGCACAGTGTGACTGACATTCAGTGTCTCCTCCCTCTGCATGCAGACACTGAACTTTCCTCATAGAGATTCATTGATTCAATGTATCTCTATGAGGAGATGCTGATTGGCCAGGGCTGTGTTTGAATCATGCTGGCTCTGCCCCTGATCTGCCTCCTTGTCAGTCTCAGCCAATCCTATGGGGAAGCATTGTGGACTAGATGGTGGTTTTAACACTATAGGGTCAGGAATATGTTTGTGTTCCTTTAATAATATGAGGCTAAGCTGTATAATTATAATGTGTAATAATTATTGTTCCATTATGTCCATTTTCAGGTTTGTTTTGCCAACTGTAAATGTGCCTGTTAGACATCTTACTGAAAAAGCAGAGGAAGGAGAGATCCGCTTGGCAGAGAGCGCAGTGACGGTTTGTAATTGTTGTTTTTAGTCTACATACTTTGTATGAAATAATGTGCGTAAATATACAATCAGCGTGATATATATACACACCGTGTGCTTTAGATCTGGATATAATACCACACAGCCCTGAGCTTCCTACATGTTCGTCATCTCTGTATGTACTCCAGAAACCAACTTAACATTTTTGCATTCTCTAACTGATAAACTTACTGTATTTTTAGATTTCAAAGGATGCATTTTATCTTTATTTAACTTTTAAAGATTAATGGGACACTGTATGACAGGGCTTTACAATTTTACTTTGAATCGACGAGCTAAAAACTACAAAGCTTTGGTTATAATGACAAAAAAAATAAAAATTTTACCGGGACACTATAGTCACCAGAACTACTGCAGCTTAATGTAGTGGTTCCGGTGTCTATAGCCTTTCTCTGTAGGCTTTTCAATGTAATCACTGTGTTTTCAGTGAAAATGCAGTGTTTACATTACTGCCTAGTAACACCTCTAGTGACGGCCACTAGGGGTGCTTCCTAGTCCAGTGCTACCTACATTCAGTGTCTCCACATTCTGCATGGAGATGCTGAATGTTTACTATAGTGATGCATCTCTACGAGGCAATGCTGAATAGAACAGCACTATGTTTTGCCGCGCATGCGCAATAGCATTCCAGCAAGGCCCGCTGATCCAAGTCCGGCACAGCGTGGGAAAAAATGTGAGTAAAAACACTTTTCTCATGTGATTGGAGGAGGTCCAGTCACCTAAACAGACCCAGACACCGACAGACTAACAAATACACACACTCACAGACATACACACATACTCACTGACAGACACACTTATACTGACGCACATAATGCCAGGGGACTTCAGACACTATAACCACTTCAATGACAAGACATGGTTAAACAGCAAATGGAGGGACAGCGCTACGGGACTCCAGGCACTATAACCACGTCAATGAAATTGTGTGGTTATAGTGTGTACATTGTCCAATTTAATGAGAAGCTTTAGATGGAGTTTGTCATGGTTTGTGAAGAGACTGGCGACCCTTTGGTGGTTAGTGTAGGGATTTAGGACTTATTCATATATTCTTTGAATTTATTATATGTTTTTTTTTTTTTTTTAACAGAGCTTCCTATTACTTAATATTATGAAACTTCATCCAGTGCTCATGTGTGATGATATTTTTCTCTAAACAGAGGCTTCGAGAGGTCACAAAGGATTCAGAATTTCTTCGCCTGCAAGTGGAGAGTGGCGGCTGCTCTGGATTCCAGTATCGATTCTCCTTGGATTCGGCAATAAATGAAGATGACAAGTGAGAGCAAAATAGGAGAGTGGGGGTGGTGCGTTGCTTAGGGCAAGCGCAGATGTTAAAAATGGTGGCTTTTAAATAACTATAACCATTTATACAATTGTTCTTTTATGCTCCAAAACATGGCAGGACACAAAGCCAGAGAGAGGAGAATGAGCTTTCACACCAAACACAATGAAATTATAAAGCAACAACAGAGCAGCTCAGAGAGGACCAAGTGTGACCGTGCATGGCTCAGTACAAAGAAATATTGTGAGATTTAGGGCCTGGACGATCCCTCATATTAAACTCTAATCCCAACCCCTGAGTCTAGGCAGAGCGAAATAGAGCAAAGCCAGGATGAGAGCTGGGATGTTCTGTGACAATATGTCTTACTCTACACTTACATCCTGTGAACCCCGATATCACCAGACCAGCAGTGTATTAAATAAAAGAGGAGGATTCACATATAAATCTGATCTATTGTATATCTTTGCTTTCGTTTTGCGCTTGGCTTGAAATGTCAAACGTTATTGGAGGCTGTCTGACTCCCTACTGTTTGTAATGACAGAAAATGTACAGATGCAGAGAGAATTCTGGGTAGTAAACCCATTTAAAGGAGCAGAGGGTTTAATAGGCAGAATGTGGTTGTGGGTGTCAGTGGTTTATGCCTCTATAACTCTTTGCAGGGTGTTTGGGGAGACCGGTGCCCGTGTGGTGGTAGATGTGCAGAGCCTGGAGCTGGTGAGAGGCAGTACGGTGGAGTATTGCACAGAACTGATTAGAAGTTCCTTCCAGCTGGTTCACAACCCACAAGCCGCACAGGGGTGCTCCTGTGGGGCGTCCTTCTCAATCAAACTGTGACTGATTGGCTCCCACCAAGTTACACTCTTCAATGCAAAACTGTGTATATTTTTGTATGTAAATAAAGAGTATTAATCCTGATGTCTTCTTTACATTCTTGTGTTATACCTGCTTTAGCTCAGGTGTATCAGTTGGCCATTCTGCCGTTCATTGTGGTGTAAGATTAAACATTAGAGATTGTTCTACTAATGAGCAGCCTGAGTTATAGCTATATATTTTGGGTACAAATTCAAGTTAAAATCTGCCCATTAGACCAGCGGTGATGGGCGAGCAAACAAAGGATTCTGGTAAAAAGCCGCATTGACTGGAGGTAGCTGACCGTCACTGGAATAGATCGGTGGAGGTAAGACACAGCGATTGAGTTAGGCCAAGTGCCTAGGAATATATTGTGGTGGGTCACGGTGACTATGATAGATTAGAGTCGGTTACAGGGACTGGAATAAAATATGGACAGAACTGATTTGTTCCGGGCACGTCTGACGGTGGTGTAACTAACCCCCAGCACACAATTGCAAATATCTCCACATATAGAAACACTACACATCCAGACTCGCTGCTAGCCCATTCATAGGTCCTGGTGGGACCATGGCTCCAGGAGACACCCCCCAAATAGGCACACGCCTAAGGCCTCATGCTAACTGGGGCCTCGCAACTGCCTAAATCACCTTAGAGCAGACTGACCTGTTGGGTCCCCACACTGTCACCCTTCAACACACTTACCCCCTACACTGTCACCCTTCCACACACTTACCCCCCACACTGTCACCAACACATACTTACCCCCCCACACTGTCACCCTTCAACACACTTACTCCCTACACTGTCACCAACACACACTTACCCCCCCACACTGTCACCCTTCAACACACTTACTCCCTACACCCTTCCACAAATCAAGTCTTTTCTCAATGCCATTTCATTACCAATTTCCGATGGATGAGAGGTGAAGATTTTTGGATAAACTTGTGATTGTTTTTTTCAGAATTTTAAAATGTAAAATCAGATAATTACAATATTAAAATTGTTTTTAAAATCTTAAATAATTTTTAAAGTTCATCCAAAAATATTAAATTGAGGCCCATATTAGAGTAGTGACTCTTTGCTGTTTAGTGGTTATCACTAACACTGACAGCTGATCCCAGCATGCACTGCTCATACCTAGTGTCAGATGTCAATCACAGCCTTACAAGACTGTCCAGTAATATATTACATTATTTCTTAGGGTTCCTTTATTTAACGGCAGCACCGGTACATGCACGTCCCCGGTCCCCGCTGGTATCTGCGGCTACGGCAATGGATCTAGCTCGGGAGAGAGCTGCCATCCAGGTATGTAACTTCCAGCACACTCAGGCAGGCAGGGACCTGTATGGCTTAGTACTTCACTGAGATAAGGCCCAGGACCTGCAGAAAGCACGCACAGTGAGGCAAAGGCCAATTGACATTTGGATGTATTTATTGGGGCAAGATGAAATCAAGTAAATCGAATACAAACAAACAGTTACAATGAGAAAATTCATTAATATATTATGTTAAACTTTTTAAGGGAATGTTGCCTTGTTTTGTGTATGTATATATATCGTTTTTTAAAAATCTTTTGTACTTAGACGCAAAAAAACAAAAACCTGTTAAAGTTGTTTGTGAATTCTCGAATTTCCCGGGGCTGGTTATAGTCAGCGTCTGAATGCACAGTGAGAGCAGCAATCACATAGTTTGGTTCTTAGTAACTAGTGAAAGTGCAGATACGGAGGATTTGAACAAACAGAGCTAACGATCAAAACCAAAATGTTCCAATCATATAACAAGAAGTAGGGCTACAGGGATCATTCATCTCACTCCCGGCTATTGCTGTACTTTAACTGCATTATTTACACAAGTGAGAATTCTAGTGATTTCCAAAGTCTGCAGCAAAATAACCGAACTGGCATCGCAGCATAATAACCGAACTGGCATCGCAGCATAATAACCGAACTGGCACTGCAGCATAATAACCGAACTGGCATCGCAGCATAATAACTGAACTGGCACTGCAGCATAATAACTGAACTGGCACTGCAGCATAATAACCGAACTGGCATCGCAGCATAATAACTGAACTGGCACTGCAGCATAATAACCGAACTGGCACTGCAGCATAATAACCGAACTGGCATCGCAGCATAATAACTGAACTGGCACTGCAGCATAATAACCGAACTGCCGCATAACTTGGTGGGAGAGTTTCTCCATTCCTGTACTTTGGTCTTTCTCTATGTGCACGCCATGCATATGGGAGCCAATTCTCCAGTAATATCATGTGGTGCCCCATGCTGCCTTCACACATGAATGTACAGTACCAGCTTATACACCTGTACATTCCTGCACTGTTTTATCAGATAAGCCACATTCCTGGCAATATTTGTGGCAGCATCTGAATGTCTGCTCAGGGGTTTATGAGAGAGAGGCCGTTATGCAGGGCGCGTTTCCACATGTAATACGTGGATCGAGCAGTGGTTGGATACAAGGCTTGGCACTCCCGAAAGGAGGGGAAATTTTGTGCCTTGTATCTTTTCTGCAGAAAGAGTTTTGCCTCTGCTTTCAAGTGCGCTGTACCTGGAGCGTTGTGCAATGATTTCTGAACTCTTGATTCGGGCACAAGAAGAGCAGCTACAGACATAGATTCACTTAGTTCTGGAGATGGTGGTTTGGCAGGGAGAGTCCCGCGTGCAGTCCGACCTGCTGCACGCCAAAAGCTATATGTAGAGCCAGAGATATTTGGATATCGCTGTCGAAAGTGGCAATATGGCATACGCTGTTCCATCACCTTTCTGCGTGTCGTCTGGCGGTGAAAGTACTTTTTCCAAGCTCGATAATGCAGTGTAACTCCCTGTGGATGCTTCAGATTCTGAGATTTGGTGGAACATTTAAAAACCTTCTTGCGCCACATATTAAAGTTCAGTTGTGAGATATCTGCAACACTCTGTCTGAGGATCTGACATTGCGTAACATTGTTTAAAAAAGTGCAACTTTCTCCATAACTTTGCTTCTCACCCAGAATCCCTGCTGTGCTCCCGGGATGGTCCCCTCCCTCTGGAGTATTTGGAGGACTCAGGAATGGGGAGGATACAGACCCCTGTACCAGCTCGTTTTTCCAGGCATAATATGTTGTACGTGAGATGTTGGGAAAGAGCCGACGTAGGTCTGCAAGCGCCACCATAGATTGTGTTTTCTGGAAGCAATACTGAAGGTAGCGCTTTGCTTCATGGCGTGTGATGGCTCGTTCTCGATACTCGTGACTTTGACGTTTCCAGCGGTACAAGGTGCTTTTTGTTACACCATACTTTTGGTGTAGGTGTGAGTAGGTAAGCCTGGGGTCCCAGTGCAACATCTGCAGAGTCTCCACTGTGGGGGATTCATCCACGTCTTCCAGACCCACAAGTGGCACAAAACAGTGTGGCCGGAAACCACTAGGTGGCAAAGTCTGCCCAGACCACATGATGTGAAGAGTCGGTGGATCTGGGGCCCCGCAGCGTGGGCGGATTGATCGGTTAAAGTAGGGGCGGATGGACTGGTTGCGTAGGGGGTAGATGGAACAGATATTTACTTGCAGTACTGATGCCAGCGCATATAAATGCCACATGTTAGAAAATGTACCCGGAAAACAGCTGGCTCTGATATCCGCATCGTACATTGCGCAGAGTACGTGGACAGGAAGGTGTTTAAGATCTGCGCAGTCATCGGTGCTCAAGGCGTAACGTGCAGCTTGCAGCATTACCTCGCAGTCGGCCATTTCTCTCAGATAGAAGCTCTTCTGCAACAGCATCTCAATCACGGTCCGTACCTGGAGCTCTGGTGCCAGCCTTTCGTGCCCACATAGCAGGACGCTCGCTGCCTCAAACAAACGATTACCAGGCCCACTGCATTTCAAAGGAAGCATCTTCCTGGGACCGTCTCCGGGGTACAGGCTGAGAGCGTTGGAGTCCACCTCCAGCTCCCCCTGAAACTGGCGCATGCAGGACCGGGGCAGGCTCAGGGAACGCAGGATTCGGTCTGACTTGTAGGCGGCATTGATGAGATTGTCCATGTTACAATCATTGGCCGCATCCTGCAAGTCATGCAACAAGCTCTGAACCAGCAGCTGCCGTGAAGTCATCCTGACAGAGAGAGAACAAGTTTAATGAGCAAAACAGCCGTAACAGTTAGACATCTCTCAGTCAAGAACAAAGTTATAGAACTTAAAGGATCACTATAAGGTCAGGAACACAAACATGTATTCCTGACCCTATAGTGTTAAAACCACCATCTAGCCCCCCTGGGCCCCTCATGCCTCCATAAATATAGCAAACTCTTACTGTATTCAAGCCTGAAGCTGTAGATCTGCATGCTGTTAGACTCAGAAAAACAAGCAGTCTGCTGACATCATCAGAAATGGTAGTCTGATCCAATCACAATGCTTCCCCATAGGAATGGCTGAGACTGACAAAGAGGCAGATCAGGGGCAGAGCCAGCATGATTCAAACACAGCCCTTGCCAATCAGCATCTCCTCATAGAGATACATTGAATCAATGAATCTGTATAAGGAAAGTTCAGTGTCTGCATGCAGAGGGAGGAGATACTGAATGTTTGGATGCATTTTAGGCAGCCATGACCCAGGAAGGATATCTAACAGCCATCTGAGGAGTGGCCAGTGAAGTTATCACTAGGCTGTAATGTAAACACTGCATTTTCTCTGAATAGACAGTATTTACAGCAAAAAAACTGAAGGTAATGATTCAACTCACCAGAACAAATTCAATAAGCTGAAGTTGTTCTGGTGTCTATAGTGTCCTTTTAATAAGAATAAAGATTATATTGTCATTGTTTTACAGTAATACAGCTCGTTTGTAGGAGCACAAATACAATTTTATAACATTCAGTTATAAGAGAAATTATAAAAATTATAAAAAACTAAAAATATAGATTCTAGTGAACTCATTCCCACAATACCAACAGAATGGCGCACAGTGTGACAGTACGTGGCAAGAATATGGGTACGTGGACAGTACGTGGTTAGAATATGGGTACGTGGACAGTGCGTGGTTAGAATATGGGTACGTGGCAATGTAGGGGATCAGACCACACGTTATCAGGACAGGTTCAGACAGCGCTGGGTCTATGTCTAATGTAGGGTATCTGAACGCATGTTGTCAGGACAGGGTGTAGGGGATCTGACTGCATGTTATCAGGACAGGCTCAGACAGCGCTGGGTTTATATCTAATGTAGGGGATCTGACTGTACATTATCAGGACAGGCTCAGACAGCGCTGGGTTTATATCCAATGTAGGGGATCTGACGGCGCTGGGTTTATATCTAATGTAGGGGATCTGACTGCACGTTATCAGGACAGGCTCAGACAGCGTTGGGTTTATATCTAATGTAGGGGATCTGACTGCACGTTATCAGGACCGGCTCAGACAGCGCTGGGTTTATATCTAATGTAGGGGATCTGACTGCATGTTATCAGGACAGGCTCAGACAGTGCTGGGTTTATATCTAATGTAGGGGATCTGACGGCACGTTATCAGGACAGGCTCAGACAGCGCTGGGTTTATATCTAATGTAGGGGATCTGACTGTACATTATCAGGACAGGCTCAGACAGCGCTGGGTTTATATCCAATGTAGGGGATCTGACCGCACGTTATCAGGACAGGCTCAGACAGCGCTGGGTTTATATCTAATGTAGGGGAGCTGACCGCACGTTTTCAGGACAGGCTCAGACAGCGCTGGGTTTATATCTAATGTAGGGGAGCTGACCGCACGTTATCAGGACAGGCTCAGACAGCGCTGGGTTTATATCTAATGTAGGGGATCTGACCGCACGCTATCAGGACAGGCTCAGACAGCGCTGGGTTTATATCTAATGTAGGGGATCTGACCGCACGTTATCAGGACAGGCTCAGACAGTGCTGGGTTTATATCTAATGCAGGGGATCTGATTGTACGTTATCAGGACAGGCTGAGACAGCGCTGGGTTTATATCTAATGTAGGGGATCTGACCGCACGTTATCAGGACAGGCTCACACAGCGCTGGGTTTATATCTAATGTAGGGGATCTGACCGCACGTTATCAGGACAGGCTCAGACAGCGCTGGGTTTATATCTAATGTAGGGGATCTGACTGCACGTTATTAGGACAGGCTCAGACAGCACTGGGTTTAAATACAATGTAGGGGATCTGACTGCACGTTATCGGGACAGGCTCAGACAGCGCTGGGTTTATATCTAATGTAGGGGATCTGACCGCACGTTATCAGGACAGGCTCAGACAGCGCTGGCTTTATATCTAATGTAGGGGATCTGACGTTATCAGGACAGGCTCAGACAGCGCTGGGTTTATATCTAATGTAGGGGATCTGACTGCACGTTATCAGGACAGGCTCAGACAGCGCTGGGTTTATATTAAGTTTATATTGCCATAGATCTCTTAAAAGATATTAGATTGAATGAAGATTTGACTGTGTCCCTGGGGTTATTCCATAATTGTGGAGGATCGAGGTACAACTTTTGCAGAGGGCCTGCGAATAAAGCCACGAACCAAAAGGCTGTTAGGGACGATCCAAATGATCACAGCAACAGGAAGAGGAAGGATGGCCAACTGTTCTAGATAGAGCAAATGAAACATAGAAACATAGAATGTGACGGCAGATAAGAGCCATTCGGCCCATCTAGTCTGCCCAATTTTCTAAATACATTCATTAGTCCCTAGCCTTATCTTATAGTTAGGATAGCCTTATTCTATGGAGATTCTCTTGAGAAAGGCATGAGACATAAGAACCTCAGATGATCGTTTTGGCCTTGTTAGGCTTCATCAGTAAGGTATAGTTGATACTGCTCTAGGCACAGTGAGCAAGGGGTCTACATCTGGATTACCCTTAAACTTGGGGAGAGCATAAAAAACAGGGTGCAAGAGAGTGCTGAGAAAGAAGCATCTTGCCCTTTGGTGGGTCCCTGCCCAGATCTCAAGCTGGTTTTGTGGTGGAATCTCGGTAAAAATAAATTTAGTAGGCCGAGATTACCACATGGCATGTGTACGTGCATATGCTGACGTATCGATCAGTTGGTTGCACGAGGCAAGATAAGATCAGTAGTGTACGGAGCATGTGCAAGAATACAGGATGTAGTATTCCCCTCCTCCATTGTGCTGGACAAGCCATGTGGTCAAGCAGGAAGTTAATTCTTATTTGTAATGATTGGTCAAGAGAATGTGCGGGTGGAGCTTAATATGGGAGGAGTTATGAGCCTATATAGGAAGCCTGCACTATTGTTCAGGGCTCAGAACTTGCTGTATTTTTGGTGACATTAGTCCCTCTGAGTCCCGATCGGTGATCCAATAAAGAATCTCTTCCTTCCTGAAGAAACCTGTGTCCATCCCTCTGTGCTTTGTTTCCGTCAGTTTCTCCGGTATCATTTGGTGCATTGGCCGGGAATCTCATCGTTCAACGGTAGCTGAGAGGCAGAGGCGTGAGACGGTCTATCTTTGCCCACGTTCTCTACGGCTGCACCCCTGAACTTCTGCGTGGACCTCCCTTCGTCTCGGCGCCACTGGTCTGTTGTCCAGGAGATCATCGGCCTCTATGTAAGAAGTGCTGGGGTGTCCCCGTCGATGAGTGTGAACTCAGGTTCAGGAACGAGGAGGTAAGACAACTGCTGTTTTAGACGGCAGACCCACTAGGGGTATACCGATTGTGCGGTAGGCCCAAAAAGGGTTTAAATCTGTGTATGGAATCTGCCCCCTCTGTCGGAGGGAAGGAGCGAAGGCGCACCGCTCGATCGAACGCTCTTTAGTAAGACCGTTTGATCTGGTTAGTCAGGCGGGGTCCTGTGTAAATAGCCCTAGCCGGACACCGGTGTCTTGTCTAGACTAGCGTTCTAGGGTGTATATTACGCTCGCTAGGTCGGAGGGACCGGGAGACTAAGCGGCGCCTGTGTAAATTCGGTTCGCTAGCTCTCAACCTATCTTGGCTAAGTGGGAAGGCGTGTAAATTTGGAACCCACTAGATTTTTGATAGAGTAAATAGACTAGAAGGGCAATTTTGTAAATTCCGCCCTCTAGTTCGCTATATGTGGTGCTTGGGCAGTGTGGCTAACCAAAACGGGTGTATATAGTTTTAGGTAGTCCATTCAAGGTACTGGCCAATAGTTTAGTTGGGATTGTAAATGTGTTAAAGATTGCTAGTAAAGTGTATATCTTGTTAGATAGCGCGAGCTCAGCCGTCTAGCGAGAGTGTTAATAGTGTGTTGCTGTATCATAGTGCACGGTACCATAACCCTGTATATTTACTGACACTGTATATAAGCACTAATCATTGTCGTCTATTGCATGTTTAACACCGTAATCACTAATAATTGTATTGTGACCTTAAATTGTGCTTTGACCTATGCTAACCGTACTGTAACCGATACTAGTAAAAGACGATGTTACTGGGGTGTGTTATAGACGGGTAATTCATATATAGAGAATTATAGCGCGGGTGACTGTATAGTTTCGCCAAAGGGCATAATATTGATTATTTAGCGACTGGTGTAACAGCTGTGTGTGTACGGGAATTCCCTGAGTGATTATTGTGTTATTGTGTACGTTTCACTTGGTAACTGTACCACGTGGTGCTGTTGCCAGAGGAAACGGGTGTGACTGTTGAATAAGAACGCGTGCATAGTATTCGTTGTCAACGACGCTCCATTGATAAGTATGGGCGCGTCAGAGTCAACGATTTCGGATCCCTTAGGTTGTATGGTAAAGAATTTTAAAAAGGGATTCAAAACATGTGATTTTGGGGTTAAAATGTCTCCTGTACGTTTGGTCACTTTGTGCACTAGGGAGTGGCCTACTTTGGTTGCGGCATGGCCGCCGCGTGGCAGTTTGGATCCAACCCTGGTACAGCGTGTACACGTGGCTGTATCAGGTAGGCCTGAACTTTACGGACAGTTTCTATACATTGATTGTTGGAGGCAGGCCGTAAACGACTCGCCAAAATGGATCCGGATATGCCACGAGGAGCAATGTCGCCTCATGGTGGCCAGGACTTATTTGTCCACTAGGACCGGTGTTAGGCCCATTTTGGACACGCCCCCTGAGTCCGAGATCCCTTTGCCGCCCCCTTCCTTCCCT